TAATTAGTGTAATTACAACAATATGTCATTTTCCTACCTGACAGAGAAATGCTGCTGTAGTAAATCAAAGAAATTTGTCAGCATGACACTTTGATCTTAAAAAGTAAGTAATACATGTGCAAAATTATAGACAAGTTAGCTGGTAGCTCATTATCCATAACATCTTGTAGTTGTGATAAGACAGGTTTTTGTGGACCTAATGTAATGCCCCCAAAAAGAAAATTCTATGGTAGACAGTGAAAAAACAGGAACTTTCTGTCATTTAACAGTTTATATATATTACTTAATTACTTTTGTGCATTATGAATGGCCATGGGAGAGACATTTATTAGTGTAAAACTTGTGAAAATATAGTTAAAAGTCCAAAAATCATGGCAGGGGCCCCTAGACCTTCTGTTTGACAGCCCTGATTTAAATAATTTAACACACATTTTTATCGGCTTACTTTAAAGTGATTTCCTCTTCCTCTGATGATGATTATTACTAATCATTTATTTATTTCATAATATGCATTTCGCTTTGTGCATTTTTTTTTAACTTTAAGTTACTATCCATTTTGGCTTTCTCTATGTATTCTGTATATATGTATGAAAATGTTATTATTCGCATAAATAAAGATGACAAGATCCATTTATACAGACAATCATGTCAAGCGTGCAGATCTACAGACTTAAACATATTGTGTTAGAAATATAGTTCAAGCAAACAAGAAATACAAAAGCGTGATGCAAAGCAGCTGAAAACTTAGTGCTATTGGTCATATAAACGACAAAGGTCCATCCAGTTAGTGATTTTATGAATATTTCATTTGTTTGTTTAAAGAAAAATGAAACAATCACTGATAATTGGATGTCAACGGATTTGTTGGATTAATGCTCGTGTCCTTGTCATATTTTCATGAGGATGTTTTTTTTTAAAGATTTTACCACACTGAGTGGTAAAAGCTGAAGCTCTAACAATATGTGGAGGGAATGGTTTATTTAGCAAAAGAATAATCTAATCCCTGGGGAGACTGATTAGGACACTGGGCCTGCCTCTCCAATTATTACATACTGTTTAACTGTTGTGAATTGTGACTTGTTCAGTAGACTACAACTACAGGTTAAACAGCAGCCACTCTCTTAAAGTTCAGCAGCTGCATTTCAACCAAAAGACAAAAAAAGAGAGAAAAAGAATAGTCTTACATTTCTGTCTCAGCCACACACCCCCCCACAAACACACCCACCCACAATGCATACCCACTTGGCTACCCCTCTGTCTCCTTTTTACGCTTTGGGACGAGCAGATATTGGGGTGTAATTTTTACTTTCTGCCGCTCCCCTCTGCATCACTTATCACCGCTATCATCTCTGTGTTGAGCTGTGGCAAGCTGTGGCAGTGGTGATTCAGGGCTTTTGGTGCATGTGAGTCTGTGAATGTGTGTGCATGGGGCTGCGTGACTAATGTTGCAGTCTGCTGAGCGTTGCATGCCCTTATCGTGCGCTGCCGAGGCTGCGCATACACACAATCGCTAATGAGAGGACGAGTGCGTGTGTGACGTTCCTGCAGGTCGTTCCAAAGGCCTGAAGGACTTTTGGGAGACCCGATCCTCTTGGGACAATTTATCCATATTTCAAAGGACAGAAAAAATGAACCCAGTCAGCTGATGAGGGAGAACAGACATGATTATTCACATTCGCACACATTTACTGTAAAACTATTACTTTAGTACCGTAATTGTCGGGCTATAAGCCGCTACTTTTTGCACAAGCTTTGAACCCTGCGGCTTTTAGTCAGGTGCGGCTTTTCTATGGATTGTCCATGAGCGGATTTGTTTTGTTTGTTCCGCTGTTGTACGGCACTACGTTGCCTGGCGGAAGGATCGAGGTTCAAGAGTGGTATGTTGGTCACATGTCCATCCGCCAGGCAACGTAGTGCCGTACGAAGTAGCGCGAAAAACAAACTTCAAAGTAGCGCTATGCGTTCAGCTGGAGTCGTGGATGATGAGCGGCGATAAACTTGCGAAAAGCAAGTTATGTCCAACTCCACCATTGGATTCTGACAGCGTGGAAAAGTGTGAAAACATCCACGATCACCAACGGATTTCGAAGGGCTGGACTGCTGCATGATGGAGAGGAGGACACCGCCACGGGCGTCGACTCTGACACTGACAACGAGGATTTCTTTGGTTTTGAAAGTGACAATGAAAGAGAGAAGCGGAGAGTGGATGACGAAGCCATCCTGAACCTGTTCGTTTCCGACACTGGAGAAGAGGACTTTGGTGGTTTTAGTGCGCAGGAAAAAGAGAAAGATGGTGGTGAATGACTGACTTTTCTTCTTGTTAAAGCCGTGTCACTGCACCTGAGCCTAAAAGGTAGTCTGAATCTATTTTTCTGGTGTGCTGTAGGTTACTGTTATGTACTACATTTGTTACTCATTTATGAAGCACAGTACATGTTTTGTACTTGTAATTACCGGTACTTGTACATATACCCTAAAAAGTTATGCAAATATGTACTCATAACTTGTTTTTCAAAATATTAATAAAAGTGATGTGTCTCCAAACAGCCATCTCTTTCCTGACAATTCGCTTTGTGCATATTCTCTTACATATGATAAGTCAACATTGAAACACCTGCGGCTTTTAGTCAGGTGCGGCTAATGTATGTACAAAACAGGATTTTCCCCTGATTTTAGCTTGTGCGGCTAATATTCAGGTGCGCTCTGTAGTCCGGGAAATACGGTAGTTGCACCAAACTTAAGTTAAAACTGGAGATGATAAAAGCTGCACAAAAATAGAGCAACAGTATTACTAAATTCTTGTGTACCATCTTTACAACAGATGGCAGAATTGCATAAATTATATATTCCTAAAAACTTCTCGAAGATGACAAAGATTAGTGCCAGTGTGGCTCTGTTAGGCTTAGAAATGGTTTAGAAATTTTGGAAATTGCACCTGAAATAAACAATCTTTAAGTTGTTCGTACTATTCAGTAACCTAATCAAGCACTCATGGTTTCCAGTGCCCAGAAACCGGGGCTGCTCTGACTTTTGTTATTTTATTTTATATAAAAGCGGCAACATTCAAGAATCTAATGCAACTTATCATCTTACTCATGCCTTTCACCTTGTAAGAAATAAATGAAGAACCAAGAAAATGCTCTAAGTTAACACTGTTTTACCTGTTCAGCTGATATCTGCCCACTTATGTCCACTGTAGAGATCATTTTTTTCTGTATTATCCAGTCTCTTTCTCTAGCAGCTGTAAACTGGGACATGAGATGCATTTTGGACAAATTTTGTCTCAAACTTACCATCTTAGCAGATTGTTAGCGATACACTGAGTGTAACGATACAAGTCGCCACCCATCAAAGCCAATTTTCAGGCAGAAACCCTGAGCACCTGTTGATGTACTGTACAGAACACCATTTCAAGATACAGTCTCTAAAATACCTCTTTCTGCCTCAGTGACAACATAAAACTCCTAAATACGGTGTGTGTAAATCTCCTGTGTAAAACTGTAATGAAAAAGTTAATCAGCAGTTAAACCACAGATTTTAAACTCAGCTCATGTGAAGTGAGAAAGAAATAACCGACACCCCCCCCCCCCAATTATGACACACAGCTTTTTTGTAAATGAGTAGATGTGAATTTTGAAAAAATTTGAAACAGATGCCCAAAAACTTTAGGTTTCACATAATGTCTCAGTGTTACCGGATTCACCAAGTTCACAGATTTAAAAGGCACAAATGCTTCACTTGTTACATTTTTATAACTAATCAGCAAAAGTATTTCATATCCTTTTGACAAATAACTTATCTCGATCTAAAAACGTTTTTAACTTTCATTACATTTTAATTTGTGTGTAGCAATGCTGGTACTGCATCAACACACCAATAACAACAATGCTAACCAAACCCTTCTGAAAGCTGGTTCTGACCAACTGGTTTCATATTTGATACCCCAGAATGATCGCCACAGCAGACCCACTGCACTGATAGTGATGGAGCTCAAATCAGATGTGAATAGAGTATGTAAATACACTTTTGGGTAAAGTGCTATGAGAAGAGTTAGGAATGTACCAAATGATAATTTTACCTCTCTGAGGGTCAAGCGGTAACACGCACGCATACGCACTCCTTTGGCCATAAAGGACTAAGCCTTTTAGGCTTTGAACACAAGAGGGTGTTTATGTGAATCGATGATCAAAGACACCCTGTGTCGCCATAAGCACAGAGGGTTTTGCTTGTACTGACAGCCACACACATACTCACCTTATTCTACTTGACATTCAAAATCAATTAAACAGATGTTCAAACCGGCCGACTGCGTTGTTGACTCAATATTCACATCAGAAGCTATAGACGCAAGTAGCCATAACAACCCCCTGTTCCCAACCTATACGCGCACGCACACACATATATATGACTATCTGAAAAGGTCACGCTTAATAGAGGGGACTGCTACATGTTATGTAGAGCATTGTGATGTCTGTCTGTGTGTGCATGATTCGTGGAAACAGACTCGAATGGACAGAGGGGGATAAACTATGGTCTTACATGAAGTGGTCTAGGTGACTGATGTCTACAAAGAGTCAGCCGGCTGACAAGCGGGGTCAATCGGACCTAATTGATTGGACTAAGTCTTTGATGGTGTGCTGAGAAAGGTGGAAGAGACACACACACACACACACACACACACACACACACACACACACACACACACACACATAATTGTATTTCTGTTAAATCAAAGTACTTTTACTACATCTTAGTATTTCTGCTAAATCATAGTATTTCTGCTATTTTTTGGTATTTGTGCTAAATACAGTATTTCTGCTAAATCATACTATTTCTACTATATTATATTTTTCTTTCTAAATATAGCATTTCTGCTATAT